CGATATTTCATATTTACCCAAGTCGAAGTTCTACGAATCGAAATGCGATTAAAGCTCCCTGAAAAAATCAGCCAACGCAAATAATGACGCGGATGATACAATGGCAATGTGTGGTGCGCGAATAAAAAATGATAACAAAACGAAAGAAATCATTAAATAACTATATCATTATTATTATCAAACGCATTAATATTATTAAACGTACGTTTCAGTGTACCATCAGATCCCTTTTCAATGATTCGCCGGAAAATATATTGCATAAATTTGAACGCGGAATATGGGCGCTTATGCATATATTATGTTATACCGTAACAAAGGAAAATGAAACGCCGCAGTGAAGAACGCATGATATACCCTGTAGCGATTGATTTGCGCACCTGCGGCTCGCATTGCCATTGTATTTTCCGCATTATTATTTGCGTTTCGGTCCTACATTAACACCGCACACGGGGGGAGAAATAATTTGCACAACAAATTTTACGCCGTCGCAGCGAAATCTGTCGATGACTCCTCTGTGAATAGCAAAACGATTTCTTAAGAGTGCCTGCCATTCGCTGGATTATTTTGCTGTAAGAAAACAAATTACGAATGCATCGAATTAATTTACACATCCGATATAAGTAACACGAACGTACAAAAATTTATAACCACCAGTCTTGAGAATTTAATTTTCACTCATCTATATATTTTAACACTCCGCAGAAATCTGATAAATACCAGGATATCGGATTATCAATCAAGCGAAACAAAAAAAAAGCGGGACAAAAACGGTTTCAACATAATTTAATTTTCCGAGCCGATTCAACGATAGCTCGGAATCAGGAAGTGGAGACGTTCTCCAAATTTTTATTTACTTTTCACTTTAAATCAAATTATTCATTCTGACTGAATTAGTTCGAGAATATTTTTCGTCTCAATGGTGCGATGTGAACTTGCAAGATAAATTTCAAACGCGAGAGATAAAATAAGCAGAAAATATCACGTACGAATCCTACGGAAGCAACGCACCTAAGTGGTCATTAAGTTAATACTGATGATATTACGGAATCCATAAAAACTGCTACAGTAACTCAGAAAGTACTTCCGTGTTGTGCTCATAAAAAATTACATCACGAAATTTAGCAGAATATGAAAAAAGACCACGAAGAGAGATAGGCCAGGAAGTAGAAGAAAGTGTAAGAAAGTTCAAGACTGGAGAATGTTCTACGCGACATAGTAGTGAAATTTTATCGCTGGATTCTTAGAAATATAAGAATGCTAGATATTATATTCTCAGAATTCTCCATTAATCGTTCATAAATTCGTAAACTGTGTTCGTATAAGCGGTGCTCCCCTCATTTAATCGCGAGCGCGATCGATTAACGAGCACGCGAGTCGTGGATGCCGCAGAGATCGCGATCAACGAGCGCGGCCGCATCGGGTGGAACGCAACGATTCTGAAATTAATTCTTTAAATTAAAACCTCAATAACACGCAGAAAACAGCGGAAAATGGCTGCTTGCGGCATCAAAAAACAATAGTCCATATGTTGTTACACTTCGAGACCTGTTCCGTCAAGTTTGGGTTAATGCAGAATCAAAACGTCGACACTGGTAGCCTCCGACTTGAACGAAAGCACGCATCTATTTATGACTGGCCTCGATCAGTTGCTTTCGCGTTTATTTATCGCGAATGTATATATACCGCCATCGATCTCTCGTATTTCGTTTCAACAACATCTGCTCGTCAGAAATGAATCTAATACTTGTTCCCGGTGTGCTAGAAATAATAACTTACCTTTCGTATCACGTATATATATAAACTGTCCGACCGTTTCTCCGATTTCGTGTATGTACATATACATACGTTGGACGTTTATTTAGGAAGTAATATATATGAAAGAGAACGCTCGATGCACTAGTTGCTCGCGGGCGAACAGCCACTCTGTGACACTTCCACATAAATTATTATCGAGGTAATTGCGTGCCGTTGAATGACTGCTCCGAACGTTCGACGGACGAAATCCGAGAGCACTTATCAAGAATGCAGGAAGTATTTCAGCCGTTATGAGGCAACTGTGTATTATATATTGTTTAATGGATCGAATATCGTTTTGTACAATTTATATATAAATCCGTGCTATATACATTTCAACCCTTAACTTGAACTTCATCTGTCTTCTCGAAAAGGAAGAGCGGGAATCTTACACATACACACTGTCTCGTTTTATTCGAAGGAAAAAAAAACCTGTTTACCTCTTATCACGATGCCTCACGTGTATGGATTAGATGTCATATCAGTTACGCACCCCCCCACGAGATATAAATATAGAAAAAAATCGTTTACATTATCTAGCTTGACAGAACGTATATCAAATTAAGGGTCAATGAGAGCTTAACGTAATAATTTGATCGACCGGAATCTCTTACGCGACAGAAGGAATTCACGTGATAATTAACGGTGCATCTGCTGATGGCGTGCACGGTGTGTCCCCCGTAGAAGCGGAGTTTCGTCATTAATCTCCGACGCCGGTCGTTTCCGAGAGAAACGCTTCGAAATTCCGCCTCGCGCGACGATGAAACACCGCGGCGATACGTTCTGGCAAATTGCCGGGCCGGCTGAATTCAATGATGGCGTATAGCGTATAGCTGGTTCGATAGTTTTGTCGATATCACGGTGAAAAACATGGCCGGGCGAAACAATTCGCGATTCAGCACCGTTCTCACCGCGGATTATTAAGCGGGGAAGCGCCTCGCCTGAGAACGAGAGATCCTGCGCCGCGAATGTGTCGCGCGGAACGAACGCACCCGGGCGGCCGAGTCGAGTAGTCAATGGGAGGTAATTAAAAAGTACTCGCTTTGTGGCGCCCCGATGACGCAGGCGTCATCCCTGATCGTATTAAAATCGTATCGGTAATATCATTATCTAGGTACACCTCGGCTCAATTAACTGACGCGACTTAAGTTAAACGAACGTAAAGGAAAATTAAATAGAAGGCATAACCGTACAGGATTACATCGATCTTTCGCGGCCGGTCGTGCAATAAATTGTATATAGTAAATACACATGCCACGCGCGCACACACACACACACACACACACACACGATTGCTTCACCGCTATCGTTATCAATGAATTGTTTACTTCTCGTTCCTCTTATTGTTCATTTCTCTTATCGTCTATTACTTACAGCTCACTCTTTTAGCGTTCTCCTTTTATTTTCTGTCGTTTTTCAATTATATCGAACTGGATAGCGTTTTGAACTTTTTTTCCCCAAACGTCTCTCACACATACACTCGCTTGCGCAAAGGTTTGCACACTCTTTTAGCTTCATTAGGGGAGGGGGGGGGG